ACTGGGAAAACCGTGTAGGTGCCTCCTGCCAGTGCCCCGTAGGGTGGCTGCGGCTTCTTGCATTAGAGTGAAAAAGTAAATGAAACGTCCTTTTCGCCTACATAATGTCAGTCATTTTGTGATGGCCTGTTTCATGTCTATTAAAAAAATCCACAGATCCTGATTCTTTTATTACCTGGTTGTACCTATTATGTTTTTTTTAGATGAATATGAGTGTAATAATTAGGACCTACTGCTTATCTTTCTGCAACATTGCAATGCTTTTCATCTTATTTCCCATCTCCTGCTATTACAGTCTAATATCTTATTTACCTAGCTGCGTACGCAACAGATGTCCTCGGTGATGATTTGATCTTTCCTTCTAAATCTCTGTGTGCAGGATATGTCAAATTGTATTTTTAAATATAGATTATCTTGTGCTTTCCCATATCAAATTTCGTGTTGCTTAGTTACCTAATTTTCTAGTTTGAGGTTATTGTTTTATTTTTTCTTCCTTTCTTGCTTTATATTCCTATCTCATCCTGACTGACCTAAATAATCCTCTACTATCAGCAGACTTTGATATCCTACTCTTTACTGTTTTTTTTACAGGTCACCAGCAGAAGATCAAACAGTGCCAGCCCTAGCTCTGGTCCCTGAAGCTCACAGCTGTGAACCTCCCCCTTTTAGTAGTAATTCCTCCTTTGCCTCTGTCCCCTATCCGTGACTAGTTTATTACACATCACGTTCCTGAATCTTCTGAAGCAGTTAATTACATAAGCATCCAGCCCTTAAGTGTACGCTGGGAAACTGAGATTCAGATTTACATTCTCCCATCCTTTGCACATTTACGTGCAGAGTGTCGCTGAGGTCATGTCTGCTAGCCCGAACACAGCTCACGTTTTGGGCTGAGAAACCCTTTTGTGTGTCTGCTTGGGCATGTACTTCTCTTGGTTTTAATGACCTATGTGTCTTTGCACAGTTCTTACATATTTTTGGTCCAGATTTTAACAAACTCGGGTTGCCCTGGAGCGGAGCAGCCGCAGCTGTTGCTGTAGGTTCTGTTGGGTGTCTCCAGCCTCACGGACTGTTGCAGACATGTGGTTCCACCCTGTGCTGCTGCTGGAGAACTTGCCTGGCTGCGCTGCCAGCGGTTGGTAGGGACACAGGCCCCTCAGGCAGCATTTTCTGTGCCCTCGGGCACCCCAACTGGCTCCTTGCAGGCAGAATCCCCTGCCTCCGCCGTTGAGAGCGGTGATCAGCTGGAAGGTCAGAAGCCAGATGGACGCATCCTCTTAGCTAAAGGTCAGTGTAGTGCAACCCATGCGAGAGCAACTTTCTCTGGAGGAGTAGGTGCAGAGGCTAAATGCTTGGAAAATCCTGCATCCAAATCCCAGCTTACCCAGACACTAAACAAACAGCCATGAAAGAGCTCCTCTGTGGCTGTTCCTGCCTGTAAATGGAGATGTTTGTGAGAATGTTTTCCCAGTTGTTTCACACAGCGCTTGCCACAGTGAAGAGCAAGGCTAGCACTTACCCTGATCCTCTGAACAAGAGGGAGATGTCTGCTCAGGAGGAGGCTCTCCCAGGGTAAGGCATCAGCGGGTGCTGTGGCCAGAAGGTGCCACTTGTGAATGAGTGATTGGCCATGGAAGCCAACTCCAGCAAGTCAATTTTAGTGATGCAATAGAGAGCATGAGCAGAAGCAGCTACTGGGGTTCCCCTTTTTCCTTTTTTTCCCTGCCACAATAGAGAGAGACTTTTCCATATGCTTTACATTTTTAAAAAAATCCAATTATATTTATATTCAACGTAATGCTTATTACATTTAGTGTAGCATTACAGGGACCAATTTGTGATGCTTGTTACTGACATTATATCGTGAGTATGATACGGTATACAAACTGTGGTTTTCCATAGAAGTCAGCCTGTCTTCTGGTTGTTAGTCTTGGTTAAAAAAGATTGCAGAGGTCTTGTGTCAAAAATAAGTTTTTCCCTCAGGAATGGATCCTTTGACTTCAAATGTTAAAGTTAGCTTGAAACATCCCTTACCCTTTTATCCCCCTTAAAAGCCTGAAATATTTAAGAAGGGGTCTGGTTTTGCCGTGCTGAAAGGAAGTCTTAACCCCCCCCTGCTGATCTCTTCTGTGAAACTACAGAGAAATGGGTCTCTGCCTGCCAAGCAGATTGGGTTGGTGCAGCATCTCAAATCAAATCAGCTTTAAAAAATCAGATTATAGCTTCAAAATTCTCAGCCGGGTACATCTGGTTAGTGCACAGGCACCTGCTAGCAGCAGTCACCTTGACAAGGGCAGGAGCAGTGCAGGGCCGCTCAGCACGCGGGAGGGTTCGTGGTTTGCCCCCTGGCTCCTGGCGTTTCTCCCTCCTCAGGCTGTGAATCAGCATTCCCCTTCCTACCTGTTGCTCTGCCTCTCCTGTGAGAAACACGAGCTTTGTCGCTGCAAGGGATTTCAGTATTTCTGTTTCGTTGTTGGGGAGGGCGTTTTGCCCTTGGGATTTTATTCAGTCATTTTCTATGGGCTGGCTTGGGGATTTTTTGCTTGGTTTGTTTTCAAAATGTTTTTAAAGGTGGACGTTTTCTTTACAGTTGGCAATACCTACTTAGCCAGAGGAAATTGGAGTACTTGTCCCTTTCTATGTAAATACTGGGTGGTTTGATGTTTGTCGTGGGTTGTAGGATCTGTTGGTTCTTGCCTTAGAGTTGGCTCCATAGCACAAGTGTCAGTGGGGTCCTTCTCTGTGCACCCCGTGCCCGGGTCAGACTCTGGTTTACAGGAGCGTGTCTGACTTCTGCTCTCCAAACTGACAGTTTATTTGCCCAAAACTGGTTAATCAGAATGGGCCCTGTGCGTGCCAACAGCAAATACAAAAATGGTTATCGAAGGGAGGTTCACTTACTTGGATTTGGGGAAACTGTGGCTAAATATGAATTTGCTTTCACATGTAAAATTCTTTCAAGGTGGCAATATTTTTCATGGTCATCTGGTCATCATTGTGTTGTAGTGGTTGGCTGCTATGAATAAAACTTTATATAGTGTTTTTCTTCAAAGCACTCAACCAGCTCTGCTATCCTCAGTCTCCCTGACTACTTTTCTGGTTTTCCCTCACGTTTCAGGTGCCCTGGAGATGGGCGGGTGGGGGAGGCCCCTCTGGTCACCCCCTGCCCCATGACCCTGGGGGAGATTCCCAGGAGAAGAGCAGCAGCCTCGGAGTGCCTGGCTCCGGTGAATCATCCCGTTTCCAGCTCGGAGGATAAATAACAACTTTTTATTTCCTAGCATTTATCCTGACACAGCTGTCTGTCCTTCCTTGCCCTCTCGGTGGCCCAAGGAGGCCGGCGGAGGGAGGAGCAGGGTGTTAGTGCCCGGATCCTCACTGCGGATGGCAGGTTCCTGCTGGCTGCAGTGCAGGTGGCTCCGGTGCCTCCTCTGTCACCCGGGGAGCCGATGGCGAGAGCCTGGTGGCCGCGGGGAGCGCCGAGGGGATGCGGCTCCTCCCGCCTCGCTCTTCGCCAGCGTCCGCACTCCCTGCAGAGATCTCTTCTCTCTAGAGGTGTATTGGAGCGCTTCTCTGAACTGGGATAACAGTACTCTTTTTTTTTTTTTTTAATCCTTTTCTGTTTGCTAAATATTTCCATATTTTTCTCTTAGCGTGTATTTTATTCAGTGCACAGCTGGAAATGTGCGGTATCAGGGAGCTGGGTGTTTTGACTTCTTGTTTCTTCATAATGTTTATTAGCCGTGAAAAGATTAAACAGTGGTCTGGTGTCCCTAAGGGTACCAATGCTAAACTCAGCAGTTTTTCTGATGTTTTTAAAAAAAAAAAAAAAAAAGTGTTACTTTGTAGCCAAGTGTATAAACTGAATAGAGCAGTTCTGATCTCCTGAGCAAGATTTACAAATAAGTGAAGGTTTGGTTTGTTTGCTTTTCTTAGTATCTCCCTTAGTAACTTTTAAGAGAGAGCTTGCAGAGGCGGGGGGGCTGTGGAGGGAAGCCTCCTCTGGCCAGGCCGCTGACCTAGAGCTGGGGGCTCAGGGGGTGTTTCTAGCTGTCCACAGCCCTCTTCCTGACTTCAGGGATGATTCCTGGCTCACCCCATGCCCAAGATTATTTTGAGTGGGTGCCGAGCTCTTGGTACAACTTCACAGTTGGTAAATCTGCCTGCCGGAGCTGCCCCAGGGCAGTGGGAAGCCCCAGTCCTACAGAGCAGTGATGACGTGCTGTGCTGAAGTTAGTGCTCCTCCAGCTTAGAGCTGCTGTTCTGACTTGTGAAAACCTTGGCTTTTTAAACTGACAGAGGTGACCTTCTTGTTTTGTCTTTTGTATCTGTGAATAGCTTAGACCTCTTACGTGTGGGGCTCTGCAGCTCTTTCCTTTACAAAGACAAAATCTTAGACTCTTGTCTCCCAGATTATGAGAGGTTGCACGAGTACATGGATGAGCACCAAAAATTAAAAAGTACTGCTCTGACTGAATCCTGCAGAGCTCTGGTATATTGAATTGCCAACTGCATTTGGGAAGGAATATAAGGCTGAGTTAATAACCCCCAGAACACATTTCCAGAACTGTTTTTTGTTTTCCTTCCACATGCTATGATGTTACCGTGTGATAGAAACCCCTGTACCTAAAATAATTGCAGCTAGTTGTGTGGCTGTAAATCCATATAAATGACTGCCATGTCCATTGCGGTTTTCCCACCCCAGCTCCAGTTCTCACACCCAGTACTCTTTTAGTGCTGCCCACTTCCAGTGTTCAGAAGCCCCACAGTGTGGTACTGAGCACAGTCTCAAGTGATGGTAATGTGCCATTTGAACAGCTTCCCTTTCCTGAACTCCATTGCCATCTCTAAATTGGGTATCTCTCTTGGCTTTATCTTCTCTAGCAACGTTCTTGCCAGAAGCTGCCCAGCGTGAGGAGCAGCACGTTGTCCCTTCGGTTACAAGAACGCGAATGATCTCCCTTTCACCAGAATTTACCTAAATCTCTCTTGGTTTTTCCCAGGGACCTCCTTCCCGTCTGAGATCATGCTGGAGGGCTCACACTTGATTCCATGAGACTTTGGACCTCCATCCCCCACCAGGACTGCCCTCCACAAGCAGATGTTTGTGGGAGAGGAATGGTGTGAATCCCCAGCGCTGTCGCCTTCGGTGGGTACCGCGGCCCGGCCCCCTAAAGCACCGCCACAGTCAATCCCAACCAGTCTGTGTGATCATGGTTTTGCTTTTCTTTCCAAATCAGTTTATGGGCAAATGGACATGCTCGCTAGTAAATAAATGGGCAGAGATGGGCTGAAATTAGGGAGGGGAGTCTCAGCATTTATTTAGGATATTTAGTAATGAAAAATAAGATTTGAAATAATCTGATCCTTGTTTTTTTCAGGCTGAAGGATCAGCTTTTTGTTAGCTTGATAGGAATCTAACAACTTGCAGCGGTTTTCATTTGGGACAGTAATCGACTTTCCATTCAAATTCTTGTCTGTTGCTGTGTGTAGATGTAGATGTAGTAGATGTGTGCCCAGTTCCAAACTGAGAAATGAAACAAACTGTCAAATAGAAATATCTTTTTTGGCTAACCATGGTCAGCCTAAAGGAAGGTTCCTCCTCCAGTGAGTGTCCTTCCATGCTGCCTAGTTCTTCAACGCTGAGTCTGACGAGGATGAGTCATTCTGGAAATTAGTCTTAATTCTGAAATCTAAAATGCAGTGTTTTTGTTGTCACAGTGGAGTCTGTTATTTTCAAGCTAATTTATAAATTAAATAAATCCAAGAGCTGAAAATCTTTTATAACAGTGTTGCAGTTAAATACTGCCTTTTCCACTCTCAAATCCAGCTGTGTTGCATGTTCATGCAGAAGAGGGTTGGAGAGGTAGCATTAAATAGTTATTTAGGGATGCTAATAACATGCTTAAAATGTTTCCATCAAGTGCTTCTGGATCATACGATGCCATCTGTGTTACAGCTGATTGTAGTTAATTATACAGGCATGAATTCCTTGGGAAAATGGATGGCATTACTCAAACAGTTTGTTTGTGATCAAGATAATGGAATGACACAATATTAAACTGGCAGAATTAAGTCTGAAGTGCCTTCCTCACTAATAATCCTCCACAAATCAGTAGAATTGCTCCAGTTTAACTGAGAATTGGTATAGGTGTACTACTGCAATATTACTGCAAAAACTCCAATGGATTTAGATACTTAATTAGTCCACAACTTAGGTGTGGAGTATCTGAAAAGAAAAGAAAAATTAGCTTCCTACAGAATAGCCACTATTTCTCATGAATTATTTCACTTCCTGAGATTTAGCCCCAAGAAATATAAAAGTTAAACAGGTGTCATGCTTTAAAATGTACATGTTCGAGATTTGGCAGCAATTGTCTTCCAGTGCTGCAACTGGATTAATCTCTTCTGTTTTACTATAAACCATTAACTATTCACATCACCGACACCCAGCTGTGTTTTGCATTTAAAAAACCCAACAAACTGTAAAACTTACGATGGCAGCTCAGTGGATGCGTTTAGATGTGCCCGTGTGTGCTCACTGTGCACACGCACACGGTACCTCTGCATATCGAACCTATGTACACTACATATCTGCAGGATTTTGCTTGGGTTTTGTAAACATGGTCCACCCATCAACGAGTTAAAGCTAACTATGGTTGAAGGATTAATCTTTGAGGAAAAATTCAGGTCAGTCAGGATTTGACATGTGTCTGTTAAAGCTGTTGTTGGAATTGATCTAATCCCAAGCAAACTTTGGCTAGACTTCCATCTGCAGAGACTCATTACTGCATGGGGGGCGTTGGGGGGAGAGCGTGCTCATTATTTCTAATTTAAATCAGATATTATTTCACCGAAGGTAAGTTTCAGAACTTATTTCCCACTGGGAAATGTTGGTTGGTTGTTTTTTTTCCCTTATGGAAACTGTGATTTGCTCTAAACCAGCCAACTGCTGGGAAGGGAGTATAGAACTCTGCAATATGGGTCGCCCGTGAGGGATTTGCTGGCATATGGCAGTGCCTGGTAGTTGTGTTTAGAGTGGAAATCTTCGAGACAAGACAGTGTTTCCCGGTGAGCACGGCCCGGATTAAAGCAGAGCCCCCCGCACACGTGCCCCGCATCCGCGCCCTGTGCACCCGGGCTGTGCTGCCACCATCTCCTCCTGGTTCTGAGGAGGAGTTTTGTTCTGAACCTGAAACTTTCTCTGGAAAAGCATGGTCAAGACAGGTCTGCTCCTTTGGAAGTCTGGGTTGAGTTACCCATGTTTGACTGTATTAAAAAAAAAAAAAAAAAAAAAAAAATAAATCCTCGTGGGCTGTATACGGGAGCTAAACAACATCACCATATGTACATGACAATACATGTCTTGGCAATTATTTCTTGATCTCCATGCTTTCAAGACTTGCAACCTGCTTACTGTATTTTTCCATGTAATTTCCAACAGGTTTTCTTTTCATATTGCAGCCGAATGAATAATATACTGTTTGTGACAAGTGGTTGTACAGAAAAAAAACCCAAAACACAAAACCAGCACATGATCCGGTCACATTGGCAGAGCACTTTGGTTTGGCATGAAATACCTTTTCAGAACAAAACTCATTTTCTTGCATTCAGACCTGTAGACTGTCAAAATCCTAAATGAAAAATCAAGATTGCTCAAGAAGAGCTGCCCCATATGAGGAAGTGGGAACTCAGCCAGAGACGATATTACATTTTCTTTCTATTATAATATTTTGAGATGCACCAGAGACTCAGACAGGTTTGTCTAAACTAATTAATTATAACAATTTGTCAAAAATAGAAAACAGTGTTGACAAGGCTGTATCATACATTTGAAATTTTCAGGTTTTGTAAGAATAGTGTTGGTTTTAAGCCACATTTTGCTGAAAATATTAGTACTCTGGGTAGGGATTTATTCATTTATTTTTAAATGCAGTGAAACACTGCTTTCAGAAACTGCTATCTAGAAAACACATTTTGCAATTAGCCTTGATGTCTGAATTGCAAGTCAGGAGGCAAAAAGAATGATAAACCTTGCTAAAGGCAGCTTATGATGCATTATTAATGCTGTTTTCAATATCAAATGTGCCAGGGATCATATGCATAATATATTCTCTCAGAATCAAAAATATGAAGACCCTTCTGGTCTGTTAAGGTGATGTGTCTTACAGGTGTCCCTCTCTACAGAACTCATTGCAGAAAAAAAAAAGAAGTAAAAATAGAAAGGGGAGGTGAGTGGTTTTGTAGGAAAAGGCTCCTGTGCCCGGCAGCGGCGGTGGGGTCCCTCTAGCTGGGCCCTTGGCGGCAGGGACGGGACCTGTGAGGGGCTGGGCTGGGCCCTGGGGGTTACCTGCCCCCCGCCAGCTGTGGGAGCGGAGCCCCGAGCAGCCCCGCCAGCGTGGGAAACCCTCCTTTGCCACGCTCGCTGTCGGCACCGGGGTGTTGGCTTGGGAACGTTGTTTTGTGAAAAGTTTTTCTCCTAGCGTTTGGGAGAAATGCTCTTTTAAGAGTGGCGTTGGTCTGCCAGTCGCCAGCTGGCTCTTCTGCCCGCAGGCAGACACCGTGCTCTCCGTGTGACAGGACCGGCACTTCTATCAATACAAATAACTACTTCGAGTTCCCAGCAGTGCTGCTTCTCCCGTTGCATAGATAGAAGCTCGTGGCTGTCCCTAGAAAGCTGTCTTAGTCCAGTCTGAGTTCCCTTTATTATCCCTGGGAGTCAGAACCCAGCATACAGCAAAGGGACCTACAGCTCCAAAGAAAAGGTCTCGATCCCTTTATGGTCTGCAGGACAATGAATGCAGGAGGGGGCCTCTCTCTGTATCACCAGTTCTTGAAAAAAAACCCACACCCCTGCTTTCAGGCTTTCTTCTTCAATCTGTACAGCGACCTGGCTGTTTGAGAAATTTTTGTCAGGAGCCGTGGCCAGGGAGGCCCCTGCACTTATTTCCCACGCAGGCTGCCCCAGGCCACACTGGTACGTTTTCATTCTCTTGTTGCCCAGCTCGGAGAGAGGTGTGTGCCACTGAGGGATGAGGCAGCCACAGCCCTCTGGGTTGTGCAGGAATGTCGGGGGAGAAAGGGCTCTTGTGTCCCCGTGTTCCCTTGCACCCGTCCTGCTGCTTCCTGCACCCCCAGAGCAGAAACCAGTGCTGCCCAGCAGGAGCCTGCTGGGAGCCAGGCAGGAGCCAAAGGGCTCGGTACAGGGGGGCTGGGACCTCCCGGGGAAAGGCAGAGCAGCAGAGGAATTATTTCACCAGAAAGGGTCTGCTCCTGGGGAGTAAGTCACAGGTCGCATGTCAGACCACAAGTGAGTTGCTTTTGCTTGTCCTTCCTGCAGCCCCTTTAGCGTGGAAAAACCAGTGACGGGGGAATGGTGCATGTAACGTGTTTGTTGAAGATTTTATCGTCTGACACAGTCTTTGTTGTACATACCGCTAATGGTTGCTTTTTGTTGGTTTTGCCTTCAAAATCTCTGTCCTTGCATGTGAACAGCAAGTCTTGATTATATTTCTTGGCTTACCAGGAATAACTCAGCCTGGTCAGTAATAACATACCCTGCTCACATGGATTTTAATCTGTTTGTACTTAGAAGTTCAAGAGCCTGTAGCCTTCATTAGTTGAAGTTCTCATGGTATCTTTGAAACCAGTGGAGTTTCAGTGAAAGTGGATTATCTGAAGATCTTCGTATGGTGACTCGTCATTACTGGTTTGCATAGAACAGGGCGAAGTTACAGTTAAACCCCTGAAGTGAGCGTCTGGTGATGTGGAGGCTCCTCGTCCCCGGGCTGGCTTTCCCCTCCCGCCCAGGAAGAACAGGTTCTGTCAGCACAGAGCCTTCCGCAGGGACCCCAGCGAGGGGGGACCCTCCTTTTCTGTCATTCTGGAGCGTGTGCCTCGTCCGGTTCAGGGGGGACGTGCCGGCGTCTGCCAGCTGGGGCCTGAGCTTGGTGTCTCCAGGATCAAAGGCAGCTGGTGGCCCTGGGCGACCGGCGCCTCCGCCAGGGTGTTGAAATGTGCGTGGGAAGGCTCCTGCCCCCCTGTCTCCACGGGCTCCTTCCCGCTCCCCGCGACCACAGCTACAATGGACATGGCCCTTGTGCACCATGAGGGAGGGGAATCGTGCTCCTTTCTTGCAGGTTTGCCTGGGAGGAGCCTTCCCCGTTCCCTCTGCTGCGACGCACGGCGCGCAGAGCACTTCTCCATTGTTCTGCAGCTCTCCTTGCTTTTGGTTCATTTGTGCGTTACCAAGACTTATCAAATTCCTATTATCTGGATCTCCTAATCCTTGGATCTTATTCTTAGCTACATTCAAGTTTTATCATTATGTCCCTTTTCATCCGTAAAGATTTAATTGAAAGAGTCCTCAGCTAATTTCTGTGTAGTTCTTTTCGAAGCAGGCTTATTACTTTAAGCACCGGCAAGGGAGCTGATTTTTCTTTGGGAAAATCTCATTAAGGCTTCAGCATTCCAGTCTGGAAGACGTTTCCAACATCAGCCCCTTCGCCCCCGCGGAGCCAGTGGGAGCCCGTAGGATCCGAAGGGCAGCGCCGTGCCCTCTCCTGCCTCGCCTCCAGGTTCCCGTGGGACGTGCAGAGACGAGGCACCGCTGGGCAAGCGGGGGGAAGGCCTGGCGCTGACGGCTGGGGGGTGGGTGCCGGACACCGGCCGTGACTTCGACCAGTGGAGCCTTCGCACAGCTTGGCTGGGGGGGCTGCAGCCTCTGGCGGGCGTCCACCCGAGTGCACCTGGGCTGCTTTTACGGGATAACAGGGGCCACCTTGCTGATAACACTTCAGAGCTTCTTTACTGGTTTCCTGGGCCTGCTCGGAGCAAACGTTGCAGTACAAGCCTTTCTGTCTCGAAATAAGCTATACCAATTTTAATTTACATTTTTCAGTAGAGGAAAAATCAGTTTTAGGCAGATGCTTGGTGTGAAATGTGTCAACTCGTACAAATAATCCTTGGTAACATTTTACACGAAATTTAAAAGCTTAAACACCGACAGAATGAGGACACGTGGTGCTACAAATCGACCTCAGCCCGCATTCCCAGCGAGCGGACTGTGCTCAGGTGCCCGGCTCCGCAGGGGAGGTGCCGGGGCTGTGCTCCTCCGCTCCATGCTCCGAGGGGCTCTCGGACCCTGCCTGCACACGGTAACAAAATGATTCCTCTTCTGCTCCGCGGATCCTCCGAGCCCCCGGGGAGTGTGTGCGCAGGGTACGTGATGCTCTGCGCCGCCTCCCAGAGAAGGGGCTGCGGGGCTGCCCCCCTCCCCGCCCGCCTCTGATAACATCTGTGCCTCCCAGCCTATGGGGACTGCTGCCTGGGTTTGATTTTCTGTAAACAAACAAACAAGAATTCTTGCAGCCCTTGTCTGTCAAAAATAATCCTTCTGATTGAAATTATTCTCACAAATCCCTGTATCCTTCCAATTATTATTTGCCTGGCAGTCAGATGTAAGCAGTTAAAAGCTTGTATTATGCTGCTTCTCGTTTCCTCAGGTTGTGAAATAACCTGGCTCCACCTGGTGCATGTATCATTGTAACATATCACTTAAGAAAATAATTGTAATATGCAAAAATGCTTCATTAGTTGCGGCAGGTAGAGTTCAGCGCCTGTGGCTACAGACTGCCCCATTTTTTTATCTATAAAGAAAAATAGTTTAAGGCCACCACTGTAGATCACTGATGTATTGTGTCTTCTTGCACAGCAAAGTAAGAATCTTAAATGCAACAAACATCTCCTCCTGTTTCTAGGCTTTTCAGGCAATATCTGTAAAATTTTATTTTTCTACTTCTCTGACCATTTTTTCTTATAGAAACTTCAAGGCTACAAAATCAAGCATCAGACTTGAGAAACAACAAAATTAAGACTGTTTGTACCACCTTGGTTTGGTCAACCAATATCAGGATTTTTTTTTTTTTTTTCCCCTCACTTTTTTCTCTGAGTCTCAGGCTCCCCACTCTGACCCAGTGTAGATCTGTAGTGACTTGTCCTACTTGATCTCCGGCTCTCAGCAGCTTTGCCCAGTTACTCCCAGGCTCCCGCCAGTCTCTTGAATGCTCTCAGCCCTCTCCTGGCTTCAGCTCCCATTTATTTATCCCCCGAGGCAGCTGCCTCCCTCTGCTCTTTTCTCCCTAATGGATACAGGTTTTTGCTCTTAGAATTCAAATCAGGCTGTTCTATTGTTATTATTGTTGTTGTTATTACTACTACTACATTTTTATGTTACTCTTATTATTCTGTTACTATTTTACTATTATTATTTTTTGTTATTTTATTATTACAGCTGCCCTGAACTGTTAAGCCTCTCTACTCATCCTTGGACAGGGAATAGTGCTGCTCCATTCTGGTTTTGACTCTGAGTCATGATGAATAAACCAATGCATTGAAGGTCATCGTCCAAAAAGATTGTTACCCAGGTTAGTATTAAGAAGGTTGGAAATATTTTCCCAAACTTGAGCTGGTTTGTGTATGTTTATAGCATAACTTAAACAGATCTTTAAAACAAGGATTTACTACAGAAATGTAGTGACAGTTAAAAATAAATCCTGGTGAGTTTTTGAACTGAGAAATACATATAATCTGTTCAAGATGTAGTTTCATCTAAGCAAGTCAAAGTTTTCTAGTGAAAAGTTTTTTCATTAGATTTTACATTCTTCTGCAAATGTCCTTGTTGTTGTAAAATTCCTGACCAGTTCTGCCTTTTGCTCTGAAACAGTGAAACCATGTTGTCCTCGTCCTTGGGTCAGAAGTTGGCCCAAGTCTTGTCCGAGAACTTTGCTGAAAGGCAGAGCCTTTATACCACTGGCCTTCGTACCTCCTCTGTTACTGTAGTTTTTAGGATCATCCTGTTCTCTGAATATTATTTTGATCCTTCTCTTTGCTGATGGTGTTTCCCCATCCTGCCTCACCACGAGTGTGTATCTTCTGTGTGAGGTTGTTAGTTGGTCCTCTAGGCGTTCCAGTAATGATTTCACTCTCATTAATCTTTTCATAGACAATTTTAAAATAAACTTTGATGGCGAGTCAGCTTTGTCTAGAGGCAACTGTTTCTTTGTGTGTTGCTGTTTATCATGTAAATAGGAATGAACTGGGTTTTCACATCCGTAGTCTATATCCACAGATTGAAAAATTGCACAGGATAATTATCAAGGAGCTTGTGCAGCAATGTGGGAATTCTCCTTCCGTAGTGCTTTAACAAAGTAATGTTGTTATAAGAGAAGATCCTAGAGAAAGTACACACGGTGTGAGGGAAACCCTGGGGAAACATCTGTATTTTGGGACTAGAGCAGCCAGTGCCCACATTCCACTGCTCCGGAGCTGAACAAGCCTCCAGTCCACAACGTTTTGCCCAGAATGTCCTCAGGTTTCTATTAAATTAAATCTGTTCATGCTATTGATGAGCACTGAGTTAAGTACTGATGAGAGGAAGGACTGACAGCAACCTGAACACCCTCCTACTGACTTGTTCAGCGCAGAGTCATCAAGTGCATAATATTAATGAACTGTCTGTCTGAATCTGCAGCTCTAAGAAATGAATCAGATGAAGTAAGGACAAGCTGTGATCCCCTCTGTCAAGTTCACCTCTGTGCAGACAACTCACAGGTCACAGGGATTGGATTTGATGAATAGATTAATTATTTATTTTTACAAAGAACTCGGATAGAGTTTTCTGAACCATAGGATGGGCTCAGCATAAAAATGGCATTAACAGATAAAAAAATACCATCTTCCTCCCTGCCCTTATCTGTCTTTGTCTCAGGTTGCAAATTCTTTGGAGCGAGGTTGTGTCTCACTCTTAGGCTCCCTGTGCCTGACAGTTATACTAAGCTAGAATATGTTTTTTGTGAGGAGGTGTTTTCAATAACTCTTACTCTCTTTCCTTCATAGTATTGACTATAGAGTTTAATTGATAATATGAGGTTGTAAATTTGGCACAGCCTCTACAGACTTCAGTAATGCTTCCCTGTTCCAGAGCACTGCTGTTCATTTTGGGGCAAAGTCTCTGTAGGAGAGTTTTGAAATAAAACCCAACAAATGCATGTAGCTTTTAGCACTTCATTTAATATTATAGTATCTGTTTTACTGACAAACCTGGTTACCATTATAAATTGGCTATGTTGTATAATTTGTAAATGTGTTGGGATTAATGAGTTGGCCCAGAGTGCAAACTATATTAATATATTAATTCTGTGAATTTTAGTCCACTTTTCCCTGGCGCTCTGCTGTTTAGTAGCATTAATTTGCCTGTCTCAGGGTTTTTTTACTTAGATTTAACTCCAAACCTTTTTGTGTGAATAAAACTCCTACACTGTTACCAGACTTAGATAAACCTATATAGATCTTAATTGCTGTTTTGGTGATGCACCACACACTCCTGCCTGGAAAGCTTCTGCTGCCTTTGGGTGATCTCTGCTTGCTTCTGTAGCTTCTCACTCTATTACTTTTACTATTTTCATCATGAATATCTGAAAAGTATTTGTAGAAAATCAAACATTTTTTTTCCTTAAGACTTTCTTTTAAAGAACATAGAAGTATTCTGCCTATGCTAAAATAGTTTTCCCAGCTGTTGCTGCCTCCCAGCCCTGACAGCGCCAGGGGATGGTGCTTGGACATCCCTCCCGAGCATCCGCATCCTCTGCGCTGTGTGAATTCCACTGCAAAGGAAGGGACAGAAAACCTTCACAGTTTGTCATTTAAATATCCTGCTGTAGACAGGTGTAAACCAAAATATTGTTGCCCCTGACAATGTGTCTAGCTCTCACTTAACCCAGGGAAGAGCCACTTCAGCTGGCTGACGTGTACCTCGTGCTCTCTACTTCAAGGTCTTTCCCAACCCAGGCAACTCTGGGATTCTGTGACTGTGCATGAGGTGGGTGTTGTGTCACCAGCTCACCCCCGGGCTCTGACCATGGTTCTGTGATTTTTCCTCCTTCCAGGCAAGTAAGAAAGTGTAGTGGGACAGAGGCAAGGACGAGAAGCCCCGAGCGAGCGCTGGGACGAGGGCCCCCGGGCGGGACTCCCCTCCCTGCGGCGCGGCCTCACCATGTCCAAGAAGGGCTCCAGCAGCCGGGCCAGGGGGGAGAAGCCGGACGCCTTGGCCGCCTTGCAGGCTGCCAACGAAGAGCTCAGGGCCAAGCTCACCGACATCCAGATAGAGCTCCAGCAAGAAAAGAGTAAGGTGTGCATCTTTTCCTTTCCTTGCCCAATTTATTAAAACAAAGCTAGTCTGGTGTTTGTGACTGCTAACCGCTCTTTGCCTCGCTCCTAGCTGACTCCTACAAACTGCCACAGTAAATCAGAGCGCACGCACCTGGAGCTCGCCCTCTGTGGGAGACAAGAGGCAAGGCCTTTACTGCAGATTTTTAAATAGTTCTTGTATTTATAATGTGCATATGGACAAAAGATCTCGGAGACTGAGGGTGCTTTGGAGTCACGGCTCTCGTGGCAAAGCCGGGCAGTGAGGGTGCCAGTCCCTGGGCAGGCAGGGCTCGGCTCGCTCCTGCCCGCCAGGCAGAAAGGAAACTGAAAAATCGCCTTGCTAAATGCCAGCAAAAGGTCTGGAAAAACAAACCAGCTCAAAACAGGTGGTGTAAGCGTGGGGGTGGGCTGAAAGTTGCCCAAGTCCTTTGTTTCTCTTACTACAACTTTTCCTAGTAAATATTTACCTATTTCTGAGGATGGCTACATCGAGGGGTTTGAATGCAATTTCGTGTTATTCAGAAATTCTCTTTGCTGGTTCTTCTCTTTCACATTTACACTCATTTCATTCAGCTTTTATGCTCAAAATCCTCAAAACTGTCTGTTTACAGTTTCCAGATGTACAGTAGCAGGCCTCAGCTCTGCCCTCTGCTCTGATGGCCACAGCTGAAGGAGCCACAGTTTCAGCCCGAGCCTTTGCGAGGGCAGCGGTTGATGCGCCTCCAGCCTCCCTTTAAGAGCTCTCAGCCACAGCCTTCAGGCACTGCTCGGTGAGGGCACATAAAATTTGTCTGCTCTTCACAGATCCCCCCAGTTAGTTCCTACTGATAAACTCTGGGGATTTTTTGGTTCCAGAATGTTAATAGACACATGCATTACCATGCAAGGACAGAATCGGCACTTTTCCATTAATTTGCATCGTTATTAGGCATTGTAGACCATGACTCCAATTTTTAGGGAAGCTTTGAAGGGTATGTGTAGATAGATAAACAGAACATTTATTAATCCTTTTGCTGTGAAACATCATTTGCAGTTTTAAGACTGAGGGCCCTGTTTTCCTTCTCCCTGTCCTCCTCAGCCACTTCCCATCATGGCTTCTTTTGAGTTTATGGTATGGATTTCAACTGAAATGTCATTTGACCCTTCTGTGGTCAGAAAGAGTTAGTTATTTGTACTGAATAATTCATCACTTAAAAAGCATCTGATGAAATGCAGTGAAATGCAGCACAAAGCAGTAGCTTGCACAGAGCTTTCTATGCCCTGCACGCGCACGTGTGCACGGTGCAGGCCGGCTCTGTGTGCCTGAGCGTGCCAGCGTGACGGCCTGGCACCTGACTCCTCAGCCCTTCTCTTGGGGATGTGGTGTGAGAGCTTCTACAGATACCCAGCTGAAAACTAACGCAAGGGCTCAGGCTTGCACCACAAGATCCTGGCTGGTTCCTGAGTGGGTGTGATCTTAAACGTGTTTCTGGCACCTATGTCATACACGTTGGCCCTGTTTCGGCGCATACGCTGCCTGTAGTGTTTGGGTGTGCGTGGTTAGTTCACCTGGATTTCATGCTGCTTGTGTAGATTTATGACATTTATTTATATTGTATTAACTCATGCTTTTTAGGGCACTGAATTGGCCAAATTAAAGACTCCATAGCATTGCAAGGGACTATTATTTATTTATAAAAATAAATACAATGCTAAAATCAGCATTGGTGCCTGGCTTTCATCCTCAATATCAATAATTTGCAAAATTATAATGATACATTTTTGTTTCTCTTTTTGTAAATATGTGGATATTTCCACTTATGCATGTTTCCAGTGAAAGAAAGGTCTTTTCTACAAATTTGTCAGGGTTATTCCTATTTTCACAAGTTACTTTTTTCTTAGAAGACTGCCCAAAGTTCTCTGTAACGTCACCGTTTTTTCTTTCCACCTGCACCATTTGGTTCCACAGTGTTCTTGTTTGTGAGGCAGACTCTGACATATCATTAGCGAGGAAACCTTTTTGTGTCAACTGAGGAAGAAATATGCATCTTTATTGAACAGAATCAACTGGAACATTTTTCCCAGTAAACACTTCAGTGATGAAATACAACAGAGTGAATATCCGCTTCTTAATTTTAGCATTTAAATATGTGCACAGGCTGTTCTCATAGACATTCTAGAGCAGAAAAGACAGAGCAAACAGACGTGCACTCTCCGACTCAGAATAAACCTGCCCAAAGGAGAGGGTCAGCTCCGCAAGCACGGCAAACGCTGCTGCAGATAGCGCTGGGCATGTCTCGTAGTGCAGTCCCTGCCACGCCAATAACCTGGGGGGTCACGTTCCCCCGAAGAGACGTGAGTAGCCCCGAAAATGGCTGCTGAGCGACTGCCAGCCCTGGCGGCTCTCGGCATGGGGGCACAGGTGTGGCCCCCCGGCAGGGACAGTCACTAGTGCCGCGGGCAGAGGAGGGGTGAGCGCGCGGGGCGTCAGTGCCCGAGTGCGGGGGGCAGAGCCACGGCCGCCCGGGCAGCAGGCGGCATCCCGGGGGCTTTAGGCATCCTCCCCGTTGGTTTGGGTTGTGTGGAGCTGCCGTGGCTGTAGTGGTGACAGGGGGGCACCCGCCAGCACTTCTGCGGAGAGGAAGGGTCTGTCCGGGCCAAGGCAGGGCGTGCCCGGAGTGCCTGTGTGGGTCTAGAACAATCTTTACAACGCCGAGTCCTCCCGGCTGCGTTGCTGATGATCCCCACAGGTATCTCAAACCTCGAGTCCAGTGGCAGCTGTGAAGCACACTGGAAATATTTGCCTTAAATTGTAAAAAGCCTTTTCTCTGTGAAAATGTTGTGCGGGGGTTTGTAACGTCTGTCTTCTTCACATGAAATGCGTCAAGAGAAGAAATCGCTCTTTTATAAGTCTACAGCATGAAGGCTGTGTGGCAGAGCTCGGCGACCCTAGTTTTACCTGGAAACTCCTTAAAAAGGGATCTTTAATATGTAATGAAGTATTAGATCATAAAGAATAAACAAAATGCCAAATGCGTAGGTCTACATGTGGTAATACGGCCTCACCAGGTTGGGCTTTCACTCTAAGGCACAGACAGACAGCATTATGGTCTAGTACTGTAAAGTGACCTGTACTGTTTTTAAATAATACAGTGGTTTATATTAATAACTTTGTTGATTGAAAATACTGTGCTTTTTTCCTTTTCCTTGTAGGTCAGCAAGTTGGAAAGAGAGAAAAATCAGGAGGTTAAGCAGATCAAAGAGCACGAACAGCATAAAAGCACAGTGGTAGTAACAGAGCTCAAAGTCAAACTTCATGAAGAGAAAATGAAGGAGCTTCAAGCTGTTCGAGAAGCACTTTTGAGACAGCACGAAGCTGAACTGCTTAGAGTAATAAAAATTAAAGATAACGAAATCCAGAGGCTACAGACCCTTCTCAATGCTGTACGTGATGGGGCTCCTGACAAGGTGAAGACAGTACTGCTCACAGAGGCAAAGGAGGAGGCCAAGAAGGGGTTTGAGGTTGAGAAAATAAAAATGCAGCAAGAAATTTCAGAGCTGAAGGGAGCTAAGAAACAAGTGGAAGAGGCTTTAACTATGGTCATCCAAGCTGACAAAATTAAAGCAGCAGAGATAAGGAGTGTGTATCACCTGCATCAAGAGGAAATCAGCAGAATTAAGAGGGAGTGTGAGAGAGAAATTCGTAGACTGGTACGTGTTGCTATCTACATCTGTGTTTTTTCTAACGCTTACGCTATTGATAGCAAGTAAATGAAAGTTCAGTGCTGGACTCAGAGGGGTGGGTAAGGACGAGCATTCACACTTCTGGAGCTTGCTCCACATCTGGTTTACATTTACTAGTAGCCATGTCAAAATGTTTTTTAAAAACCATTAGGATGGTTTGTAAGGAACTTTTTATCCATGTCAGTGTCTATTAATACTGTTCACATTCCAGACATCAGGACGGAGGTTTGGGTTACTAACTGGTTTGGGGAACTCTACAAATCAGTTACGTTTCTTGGCCCATGCCTCTCTTTCCCCACCATTTCTTCCTTGCTGATCCACCCTGGTCACTCCTTTTCCCTGCCTTTGCTGGTTCCTGTAAATATCCCATAATGAGCTGTACACAGTCACTAGGGCTCTTTCTTCTGCGTCCCGTAGTGAGTCCCACACCCGTGGGCAGTGCCCCCCGCCAGGCGTTCAGGAGGGAGCTCTCGCCGTGCCCCTCCTTGGTGCCTTTCCCCCGGCCAGGTGCTGGTGCTCCTCCTCCAGCAGCCCCACGGGCGGGGGCTCAGCGAGTCCCCCCGCACCCCCACTGGGGCTCCTCGCCCATCGTCGCCCACCCAAGCCCCTCCGAGCAGCCCTCGGCTGCCTAATGGGAGCGTTTCAGTGGCAGGGCAACAGTCGGAGTCTCGAAGGCGATCGCTGCGTGCTGATGGCTTCCCAGTGCTCCCCCCGCGCGTTTGGGAACGTGCTGGTGAGGTTGAAGGGGCTCGTGTTGCTTGGAAAAGGGGAGAGCTCCCGCCGGGAGGGAGCTCCTCTGGGGGGGAAGTCCCTGCGGGAGAGCCGGGCAGGCCACCAGCACTTCCCGGGCTTTAGGCTGATTTTTCCACCACCGCCTCGAGCCTTGGGAGTCCCAGAGCCCGGTGAGCATGCAGCTGATTTGCAGGCCCGTACCCTTCGCTGCTGCCGCCTTTCCCAGGGCACGGGAACAGCCGGAACACCCATCCTGTCGAGACACGTCTTTTGGGTCTTGTATTTATTTGAAGTCGCCGTCTTTTTGTGTTTGCCAGGCTTTTTTATAGCGTGCAGTGTCTGAGTATAAACTCATCCATGTCTCTTCTAAGTCATTATCCCTTGGCTATTATCCAAATCCTAAAGAAAACACATAAAACCGCATGATCAGCTCGCGGACTGGCCCCAAGTCAGAGCATGGCGGCGTAGCCACGCTTCGGCAAGCGCCTGCAGAGCCCACGTGCCACAGGGTGTGCAGCATCGTCTGCGTCCCCACGGCGAGCGACCATGGCCCACACGCCCCGCGCTGCTCCCTTGGGCCCCCGAGTCTTACGTGCCTTTTATTCAGCCACCCCTTCTCTCAGACTTTAGGTTGTTAAGGGTTTTTTTCCCCTTCATAGATTATTTTATTTTTATGAAGAGGATATTAAAAGAATTTATCACCAGCTGATCTATCAATACTGTTCAGAAATCCTTCAGTGTAAGTACTTTCTCATCTAAACATACATTACTAGATGCATTGATTTAATACATCGGGATGAAAGGATGGCTAATGTACATCCTAAATAAACTTGCTGCATTACGTGGCAAGTCCAAGCTAATGGCCTCTAATGTAGAAACTATGAAATAAATTATGTCCTTAGTTATAAGGAATAGAGTGGTTTGATGCTATGTTTTCTAAATTGCCTTCTAAAATCAAACTTTTTTTTCAGTCCTGCTTGAAAGAATCAGATTATCATCTAACTGTACTAATTAAATTACATGATGCCATTGTTTTACCAGGCCCTGAGTGCTTCCTGCATGACTCGCAGTGCTCTCAGCTCCACTGACCATAATTGATTTCCGTGGGAGCTGTTGGCTCCCGGCACCCCGCAGGGGAGGGCCCTGGCGTGCTGGGGTGCCATGGCTGGTGCCACGTTGTAGGATAAAAGCTCTCCTCTCTAGGAAAACGAGGCAGTTCTCAAAACACTTAAACTATTACTGAAAACCAGTGCATTTTTCCCTTTTTAAGATAGGAGCCATCAATAACGTACGCTCATTGAGCCCCACCGGGGCTGCAGTGAGACAGGGAGGAATGCAGAATAGTCTGACGTGCGCAGGTCTGTCCGTCAGCAGAGATGGGGCTGCACCTCCCGTGGCAGACATCCAGCCCGGAATTGTTGGTGGATTCACATCAGGGTTTGAAAAGCTCCATGATTCATGTATGATGCATTATTTAGTCATTGTAATCAAGGGCAGAAGTAACCTTCAAGCAAATTACAATTTCACGCCTAGAAAAATACTGCTTTTTTTGTTTAGTCAGAATAGAGAAACGCAAGTGGTACTCATTCATGTTTTGCTTGGCAATGATGTGAAGCCCTTTAATGTAAAGTAATTTTTTGAAGTTATCTCTGATAATACTTTCTCATTTCCGAGGCTTAGCTTATGGAAAATACTTCCATGCATAGTTGGACAAAGACTGTTTGGAAGAGGTGCGTTAGTACTAATCCGTTATTATCCTTTCAAATTAAAACTAGGGTTTCTTCTTCACTGGGCAGAGAGGAATACATTTGTTGATGTCTCACTTTAGACTCTTGGAAGAATGTTAGATGCCCTTTAAAGGAGCAAATGCGGTAGGAAGATACAACATTATTCAAAAAGGAACTGTACAGCCATCAAATTTACTTCAAGCAAATTGGAGTTTATTTTGGTCTCCAGCATCATCCTCTTTTGTCAGATTTTGCCAGGGGAGATGCAGTGTGTATATGCTGAGGCGTTCGAAATAACCAGAACCTTCCCATTTTCTTGACTTACTGCAACTTTGACTGAAGCTGA